ATATATATATATATATATATATATATATATATATATATATATATATATATATATATATATAAAACTATTGCTTTTTATGAAAGCAATTTTTAATTCTATTTAAACAAAAAATTTTGACTTAAATAAATATGTTATTAGTACTTCACGAATTAATATTTTTTATTTTTTAGATGCTTTTTTCTCAATGTATTAATGATATTTAAATGTCACTGACATCATTAATGCTTTATCATGATTGTTGCAAAACATTGTATATTAAAAATATACGATATTTGTACTTTGTTTGGATTATTTTAACAACTAACTTGTCTAACGAGTCAAATTTTCATTGTTGACTCGTTAGCTTAGACAAATTTTTATCTCTCACTAGTAGTCAGAAAAAGAAATACATCCGATCTGCTATTTAATTATGTTCTACAAAATAAATGCATTTCGTATTATTATTGAATCGATATCTATCGGAGTTGTAACAGATTATAATAACATTAAAATATGATATTTATCGTATTCTGGAGTTTGTTTTTATCTTTCTTGACTTGAAATGGGGAATCCCTCATCTATTCCACCTTATATTATGTTTAGAATGCTTTCAAGCACGTATATTGTAAAAATTATTGCACCCGATAATTAGACTATTTGATTTACTTTGAAGGTTAAGATTTGTAGTTGATACAAGCACGAACAGCACGATAGAGCGGTGCCCGTAAAATTCTTATCATTCTAGAGCGCATTATGCATTTCGAAAGAAATATTAGAATAAACATTAGCTCTAGAATATAATTTCATGTATTAAGATCATTATATCAGATCTATGTATGTAAAAATATACTAAACGCAATTATATTAAAGGTTCACTTTTCTCGATTACTAGAGAGAAATTGGTACATTCAACAAGTTACAACATCTTCAAAATAACGATAGCGAAGTCATTAAAAAAATATTTTAGAATTTAAGATTTTTAGTTTTTAAATATATTTTTGAATACAAAGTTTTCTTATTTTTAACAATGCTACACGAATATAACTTGAGATCTGCCAAAATCTGCAATGAAATTTGTCGTTATTTTTTTTAACTCAATATTTAAAAATTGATACTTAAAAATACTTTTAAAATTGATAATTAAAAATATTAACATTATGAATTTAATATATATAAGGTAGAGACTTCAGTTTTTAAAATGTTTTTTGAATCATTTCGTTATCGTCATTTTAACGGAACTTATAGTCTATTGAATTCTATACGTGTTCTAATATAAGGAAGAAAGTGCGTTTGACTAACCTTTGAATTATATTACTTCAAAGGTAAAAACGGCGTTTAGAGACTTCTGACTCACCGTTGATTCGTACTCTGATTTCGTTACTCAATGTGTATAGTGGCGGCTCGTAGTGGACACTTCGGAACTAAAAATCGACGTTACCATCTATAACCCACGACACGAACCTTTTTAATTAGCATTTACCGACCGCTTAGTGAAGACAAAACCTTCAGACTTATTAGCACTTATTAGCAAGCCACACACATGCATACACGTGCGAGACCTAACTTTTTCATAATTAATTTCTAGAAAACTAAGTTGCAAATTGGACAAAATGCTCGTAAGTAATGTGCTTCTCAATATAATTTTACCATATCAATTTCGTGATAATCTGCTAGCGTATTTTCAAACACGATAATGATAATAAATACAATGACTTGCAAGACTTTATTTTCAAATAATACAATCCTCAGTAAATAATAAGAACCTTTACTTTTTAATAATGCGACTATATAACGAATCTACCATTAAGAAATAAAATTTAATAGAATATTTTATTTTAATCCTAAGAATATTTTATTTTAATCCTAAGTTAAACTATACTATGAAAACTAAATATTTGAAGAGTGAAAATAAACATTAAAAAAACTTCGAGATACAAATCAAATGTCATTATTATATATGTCTTGTCATACTTAATATTGTATAAATATATTAGTATTTAACAATATGTTAATCGTATAAAAAATTATATATTTGATCTTAACAAACGCTGTCATCCAATGAATTATTTATACCGTTACTATCGCCATGAATCATTTCCTGTAATAAAATATATGATATATAATTATAAAGCAAAAATTAATGGAATATATTGTGAAATATAATATATTGATACAGCATAGGATCAACATTACCTGCAGTACTTCAATAAGTGCTCTTGTCTCTTTCAACATCTCCTCATGGATGAGTTTTTGCTCTGTTAATCTTTCATTTTGTTCACTTAATTTCTCTATATGTTCTTCTAATGTTCTAATTTTTTCAAATGCATCATCAAGTGCCATTTGTCGTCTTTCAGCTAAGACTTCCCAATAATTTTCACTAGGGCCAGCTAAACAAAAAATAAGAAAATAAATATTTTAATACTAATTTAAAATTCAATTTTTTATATATATACTATACATTCATAATATATGCAAGAAACATGAAATGTTAAGATAAATATGTATTATATTGATTATACCTGTAGATGTTAAATCTTCGACACTAATTTTTATCTTTGCCCCTCCAGTCTGTGTATCCTTGTCTTGAAACGTTGTCTTGTTTTGAAATGTTATCTTTTTAGAAGACTTATTAGGAGGAGTAGGTTTTGTTTTCTCTGATACAACACTGAAATGTCATCTATTAATATATAGTCAACTTGTTAAAATATATCCATAATTATCTTTTCAAAACAACTTACTTTTCAGTTTTTATTTTTTTAGTTTGTTTTGTAGATCTGAGCATCCTGCCAGCAGCGACTAGGTTTTCTTTATCTGTGGCTGATGGCTGCAACATGTGCAAAGATTCTCTCACCTTATCCTGTTTTGATAATAGAAAAAATATAACATAATTACCTAATCTATCTATTTTACAAGGATGACATTACTATCACTTCTCCTTTTTATTTGTCAAATTAGTTTCTCTCTGACTACTATTTTTTTCCAAACATTAGTTTTATGTATAGAAATATATAAATTTATAGAGTATTTCTCCTTTCTATATCACTTTAGAACAACAATTAGAATGGTGTTGGGGAAAAATTGTAGGATAGCCTTGAACCATTAATATTGAGAGAAAGAGAGAAAAAGAGAGAGAGAGAGAGAGAGAGAGAGAGAGAG